ATGTCAAAGTGATGCTGCAGTAAGTGCATGCTAGATGCGGGATCTGCTCTGTAATATTCTGTATAATGCTAATCAAAGCATCCACATGTTTTAACAGCGCACCCCATAACTTCAGTCTGATCTCAGCTGTTTATGTGCCTTATTTCAACCCCTTGGCCCTTGCAACTCTGTTTTAAGGGCCAAGGGTTATACTCGGAAACAAGGGGGAGGGCCAAGCGGTGAATTGGGATTGCTTTTTGAAAATGTACAAATGCAGAACGTTTTCTGTGATGGGGGCAGAGTTAGTGTAGGGTGATAGAATATACAGTTTGTACAGTATAAAAATTATTATGTCTATGGAAAATGTTGAAAATGGTTATTAATTGGCACACAACAAAAGATTTAAATGCCTGTAAATTCTAGGAGATGATTGATGGTTGATTCTTTATTTGAGGGAAAACACATGAAACTTGACACAGATTTCATTACAGCAAATATCATGATGAGGTAATCCGACGTTATATGAGCTCTGCGCAGTCTCGCTGGTAATTGTTGTGCTGTTTCAGCAGAACAACCCAATGTAATTTGAGTCGGACTTCTTAATCTCGACCTCATACTGTTTATCAGTGTTAAACCGTGTGTCAAAATCGAATAACACTTTATTTAGTCCACTTTAGATACTAATACTCTAATGAGAGTTAGTTGACTTATAGTTAGTAGACTGTCTCCAGAATATTTGGTCTCATTGACTTCCATTGTAAGAGCATTACACTACATGCACTTTACTTGTTTTTACAAACTGAGAGATGCGTTGGCGTTATTTTCCGTGGTAATCGACCGCATGTCACAGATGCTGTACATAGAGCTGAACTTGTTTTGAACCCAAAACTTTGCTCTAGGCATTATTTTCCACCGAATCCTAAACAAAGATGAAGATGTAGCCTGCTCGAAATTCATCCGATCTGTTTAGACTTTGTTTGGAGAGCGCATGGAAGACTGCACACTCCTCATCAAGGTAGAATATCATCATCATCATCGCATGCCACCTGGCAGAGAGAGTTTCAGGGGCAGCTGTTCAAACCCAAAGACATCCAGTGTTGTGTTTGCAATAGAGTACTAGCTCACTGGGTATTCAGTACTGTATTTCATGTATTGTATAAATAAAACCATCATTTAAAATAGTATCTTAAAAAGAACACAATTTGTAATGATTTGAAACAGTAGTACGCTACATTGTTGTCACATGACCTCATCATATTGCATGTTGAATTTAGTCAGTGACAGTTCAAACTTTTGATCTAAGAGTTCATAAAGAGGCGAGCATTCATGGAAGAAATGGAAGTGAAGCAAGTGCATTGCATTGTGGGATTGTACTCCACACATATCGGCAAATGTAATTAGTCATCTGGCTATTGCATGCATTTGCTTACCATGCATATTATAAATATTATAGGCTATACTTGCATAGGAAGAGTATATGCAATTCTAAACATAGCCCTGCCTGGACTACAGTAGCAGCCAAATGTCATGGTTTTAATGATTAAATCATCAAAATATAAGGAAAATCTTATTTTTAATTATTTTAAATATGAGGGAAGATCATAAGTGGTTAAGGTATTTATCTGACAAAATTGTTTGGCAAAAAGGCAACAGTTACTGGTTTTATTTTACTATGCAAAAAGAAATGCGTAAAAAACAAAAAAGCTCACAGGATGTTGACTGCAACATAATCAGTTATTAATATTTTGTTGGTTCTTGCTGGTTTTTGCATGTGCTCATAATGTTTTCGTATGACAGCCTCGCCACTACCGTATTATTGACAATTATCAATAAATAACATCTGGTTTTAGAATTATATTACTGGTGCTTTGTTAAACAAGTGTGTGGTTAGTACAGAGGGTTCACTCTGAAGATTTTAATTTATTCACCCTCATGCTGTTCAAACCTCTCTGACTCTCTTCTATGGTGTATAAAAAGGAGAAATGATGGAGAATGTTTTGCCCACTCCAAAATGGCACATTAAAAGTCATGTGGGCCACTTTTATGGTCTTTCTTTGGAGATTCACAACTAAATTGTATCCCCACTTTTGTTACATGGCAAGAGTTTCTCCTTTGATGTTCCACAGAAGAAAACAGAAAATGACCCGATTTGGAACGAGTCCCTTTATTTGATTATCCGTCCATGACGTCAATGGAGTTTATCATTTATATTTCCCGAGAAATGTGGATTTCCGACTTTGAATTGAATTCCACCGAATCCCTCAAAGTGCCGTAACGGAAATAGTCCTGCAGCTCAAATAAGGCTTATTATTCATGGAGCTGAACTGCCACAGTCTTTTGTGTTCTTCAGATCTCACAGCCCTCATTGATTTATCAAAGTGGATGAGACATGTATAGTTATCTAGCGCTGGTTTCAGACTTCACTGTATGCCATGCTATAATGACGGCACCAGTAAGAGCATTGGTGAATTATTTAATGGGTACGATTTCCCGGGGGGCCGTGCAGAGCCTCTGTTACCATGGAGGCCGATGCCAGCCATGTACTCGCTGATACAAGGTGAAGTTTGCGTTTCAGCGTTTGGAATATGCAAAACAATGTTATCGTTATATGATTGTGCATTATTTGATATTTAGAGAGGCTTTATCATTGCATTTGACAAGTAATGAGTAAGCCAGTGTTGATTTATTTATTTTTTAACTGGCAAAAACTTTTTTGTTTTTTGGGAGTTGCTAATGAAAACTGATTCTGGCTATTAAACGATTTCAGAAAAATGACATTGCACTTTGCAGTTATTTGTTAAAATATTTTTCTATGATACATTGCCTGGTCAAAAAAAAAAAGTCACCGTTTGGATTCAAATGGCTGCTAAAGAGTCAGGATTATTATGTTTATTACAGAGTGCTTGACCAAAAATTGATGCACCTTTTGATGGAAATAAGTGTTTAGCCAAAAATCGTTGTGTAGTACGGGTGGGACAAAATTTCGATAGGGCAATCTCCGTGCAATACGAGAATTGTTACACTTTCTCCAAATATCGATATTTTAATTAATAAAATAAAGTGCTGTAAATACATTTTTCTGCTCCCAGCATTGCTACTTCATGCCTCCTCTAGTTTGCTCTAATCCGGGGAAACGGAAACATAAGAAAAAGAGGTTTTTAACGGGGTGGTGGCGGACAGCAGTGTGAGTCGAATAATAGATGCCCAGCCTCGTTTGAGTCCAAAGTCTGGACCAACTTCAGTTTTTATGCCATATGAGACAAACAAAATCGACAAAGAGAATGATATATACAAGAACTTCCTTGTAAAATTAAAGTGCACAGTTAATACCACCAACATGCAAAGCCACTTGCAACGCCATCACCCTGATCTCATAGAAAATGTACAAAAATGTGTGCTATTTTCTAACAGTTTGGACTTGAATAAGGAGAGAAAACCTGCACTTAACATTTTCACGGGCATCTCTTTTTCATTGTTAGACAGATTGTCTAGCAATATATTGATTATCGCAGAATTTCGGTACCGTGATATTACCGGTATCGTGAGGTACCCTGTGATTCCCACCCCTATGCAGTAGTATGTGATTGATTCTATTTGCAGACACACATTTAGTATCAAGAGAGCACTCTTTTTTTATTCGAATGAACTCTACTTGGCTCTGTCTGATATAGAAACAGTGCAGTCAGTGTGTTTGGGCCCAGGGATTGATAACCGTTCCAAGCATCGACTCACCGTTAGTGATGGGTCCTGCTTCATGCGGACAAGGAAAGGACCAGAAACTCCAGCATTAAAATATTCATGCTGAAAATGGACTCTAAGCCATGAGCTCAATTAAAGAGCCCCTCTCCATGTGCAGTGCTTTAAAATGAGGGCTTTGCTTATGGTTCTCCACTCTGCCTGTCCGCAGGGAAAGATGAAAGCTGAGAGAGGAGGGAATGAGAGGATGCTCTATATAAGTTCAGTTTTATTTTTATGCTTTTAAACGCGTTTAGATCAAGGAGCATGTGAAATGAACCGAACTTTGAGAACAAATGGAGTTTATATGAGGTGGCTGACCTAACAATGTCTGTTTATTTATACTGTTTATTATCTCCTTTTGTTTATATATATTTAAAGCTGAAATGCACACCAGTATCCAGTATCAGAATCATTTAAAGATGTCATTTTAAAGGAGTAGTTCACTTTTAAAAAAAACTTTTGTTGATAATTTACTCACTCCCATGTCATCCAAGATGTCCATGTCTTTCTTTCTTCAGTCAAAAAGAAATTAAAGTTTTTGATGAAAACATTCCAGGATTTTTCTCCATATAATGGACTTCAATGGGAACCAAACGGTTCAAGGTCCAAAAGACACTTTCAGTACAAACTGTTCAAACGATTCCAGAAGATGAATAAGGGTCTTATCACACGAAACGATCGCTCATTTAAAAAATACAAAATGAACGAATCTTTTTTCGTGTCATTTGGTTCATTCAACGAACGAAATGAACAAATTGACTAGGGAAAAGATTCGTTAATTTTGTTAAACGAAGAGTCACGAATGCACATAACAGAACAGAGCAAGGCGACCATTTGAGCTTATAAAACTTAAACTTTGTTATTTATTTTTTTTAAATGAGCGATCGTTTCGCGTGATAAGACCCTTATTCATCGTCTGGAATCGTTTAAAGCCCTTTGAGCAGTTTGCACTGAAACTGTCTTTTGTCAGTTATATTATATAAGTCCATTATATGTAGAAAAATCCTGGAATGTTTTCATCAAAAACCTTAATTTCTTTTCGACTTAAAAAAGAAAGACATGGATATCTTGGATGACATGGGGGTGAGTAAATTATCAGCAAAAGTTTTTTTTTAAAGTGAACTACTCCTTTAAGGTCTTGTTTTAGTCTGTATTTTTTTAGTTTCCATTCAAAGATCTAAAAAGCTGCAACTTTTTTCACCGTGGTCAAATCGTCTGATATCAGAATGGTTTTAGAGAATGTATATCACGAAATTGTGTGGGGTTTGTCTCTCTGTTTGCAGACGTGGCTGAAGAACTATGGCTACCTGCTCCCTCATGACATCCGGACTTCAGACCTGCGATCGGAGAAAGCCATGCAGTCAGCGGTCGCTGCCATGCAGCGGTTTTACGGGATTCCAGTGACGGGAGTGCTGGACCAAACCACCATCGAGTTAGTAACAACCTTTCTTTACTGCACAACTTACCTTTCAAAAAATCCTGAACAGGCAATAACATAAGAAAAACTAATTTCATAACAGTGCAAAAGTTCAATCAATACTGGCTGTTTTTTGTTGTTGTTTTTTTTACAAACTGTAAGCTTAAGTGTAGTTTCATTTAAAAGTTAAAAGTGTAATAGTTTTGATAAATATGTTTTCAATGATATCCAAAGATTTAAAGTTCCCAAGTACAGTTGTCAATCATTTTATCCCTTAAAACTCGTCGTCATGCCTTAAAATAGCTTGAATATAACTCTACACCCTTGCCTCATTTAGTATATGCGGTTCTATGAATATGCAAATGAGCCCCGCCTCCACTCACTCAGCTCAGAGATCCACTAGATCACGATCATGATTGGTTATAAGGTAGTTTGTGAAACACAAACCACGTTTTTGAGACTGTCTTTGGTTCACTGCAGTTTTAAAGAGAAAATACTCAGCAATGGTGTTGACTTATGAATTTGTAAATGGTTTGTCTTAAAACATATTAAAAACACCACGGAGACATATATAAACAACATTAAAAACATTTTTACCACAGGCGGACTTTACGTCCAGAACAATTTGTTTTACACAAGGTGAGTCACCCCCTCATGGGAGATGGCAAGTTGAGATCACATGACCAGCCGTGTGTTACGCTTAGATCAAGTTCCAGAGCTGTTGGGGCACAGAGAGACTCATTTTTATTTTTATAATTTCGTAGTGCTTAAAGTCGGCAACTCGGCATGAAATGGAAGTTATTTCTTCCCAATTGTGACGAATATCCAAATGCAATGGCTTCTTGAACAAGTAAAAGTATGTAAGACTTGACTTGATTCCTCCATGAGGAATTAATTGGATGGTTGTGGTTTGCTATTGATGGATCTCATGTAAGTGACAGGTTGCCCCGCCACATCATCAGAGAAGAGATGTTGGATAAATCATTTATAATAACAAGACACAAGGAAATCTGCCCTGTTTGTTTACTGTTAGCTTTTCGGTGTCCTTTGGTGTTGTGATCATTATCCACGTGTTTTAAGGTGGATGAGAAAGCCACGGTGTGGGGTTCCAGATCACCCTCACATCAGCCGACGGAGGAGAAATAAACGCTATGCCCTCACTGGTCAGAAATGGAGGGACAAGAGGATCACATACAGGTAAAGTGTGCACTATATTCAGAGACCGTTTGATGGATGGATGGATGGGTTGACTGATTCACTGAATATTGCACCTGAGGAACCTCTTGAGGAAACTGTGTTTACTCTTTATTGAATGGCATTACAGGGAAGCGTTCCAGAAACTCCATATGCCTATAACTAACTGCACCTCACATGATTTGAGTCTCCTTAACTCTTTCCCCGCCAAACACGGAATTTTCCGGGTTTAATGAAAAAACGCATCTGCGCCAAACACGGAATTTTCCGGGTATCCGTGTTTTAGGTGGTATACGGTAAGGAAGACCCGCGCGCATGTCCTGAATGAGTGCGCAACTCTTTGATCAGAGAAACAGATTGCAATCGTCTCAAACAGTGGAGTAGTGAGAATGTATCAGACAGACAATGCAGAGGTATATGGCTGAAGTACTGGAGGTTAATGGACTCGGAGTCCGATCACTCTTTATTTGATAATTCTGAATCTGATCGGGACGAAGTAGTCAGTGAGAGAGATGCACATGTTGTCACAGAAAGTTCTAGCCATGGACGTGCCGCAGATAGATCGTATAATATTATGACACTATAATATTTATGTGTGTGTGCAGGCATTTATGTGTGGCTGTCTAAATATGAAGGTGTAATTGTCAAATTATTTCTCTCTTTGTGCACATTTACCACATTGTAATATGTATTTGTGTGTGTGTGTGTGTGTGTGTGTGTCTAGGCCTGTTTATTGTAATTCCAATTATTCATTATTCACAGGTAGAACACAGAGAGGCAGAGGCAAAAGTTTTATTGCAAAAGTTACATTTCCCTTACATCCTGGGAAATTTGATATATTTTACATTTATTTTATGTTTTTAATTTATTTTGGAAAGTTTTATATATGAAGGAAACAACATCTGAATGTATTCTGCTTTTAAATGCACTTGTTTGATAAAAATCCCTTTTTCTCAGTTTTTTGTCCAAAATGTTGTGTTTTTGACAAAACCTACCTCTGTTCAAGAGGCAATAAAAAAAGAACAGATGAAGATAAAATAAAAACGTTTTTTTTGCCTAAAAGCAGAGGCTCAGATCTTTATTTTTATATATATCATCTTCATATATTCATGGAAGAAAATATTCAGCGGGGCATTCAAATTTAGCGAAAATCGTCAAAAACCCTGGCGGTGGCTGGCAACTTTTTTTTAAAACGCTGGCGGGGAAAGATTTAATGGCGGCCCATTAGGCATCTTGGAGTATATTCGTACCCGCATTTTCAATTATTTTAGTGCATAGTGCATTCACACGTGCAAGTATGTTTTGAAACACATGCCACTTACACAATGTTCCAGACAGATGTTGTTGAAATGCTTCCCTCCAACCTTTAAAATGCTAAAATAAGCTTTTTTTTTGCCTGATGGGAAAGAGAAAGAAACAAAGAAAGCAAGAAATGCGGTAGGTCAGGATGGAAGAGGAATAGTTGATTAAAATCTGGCACTTTGACTGGTTAACCACTTAACCTATTCATTTATGTATTTTGTTAAGTCAGTTTTTGCCTATGCCTGTCTCTGAAATCTTAGGCAGCTACCTTTATTTATATATAGCGTAGATGAGCTGAACAAAAGGGATTCTGGGACATTTTGTTCTTGTGGTGCATTCCTATAGGCATAAACATTAAACCATTTAGATAATTTGCAAACATTTGTTTGCTTTCATCTGTTTTTTAGCTCTATTAATTTCTTTTAGTCATCTAACGCTGACTTGAGCTTAGTTTGCAGGCACTGGTTAATCAAATGTGATATTCTCACTTGTGTGTGTGCCAGAGACAACCATCTGCTTGTGCCTTAGGTGTCTGGCCTGGTTTAACTTTTGCCCTATATTCAAGGAAATTTTTATGCAGATTAATTCTTATGTAACAGCGCAGCGCTGTGAACTGAAATGGGATTCGCTTCAGTATAGCGCAGAGCTAATTCATTTAGAGTCAACTTTTCTAATTAAAAACCGGGAACACTGATAGTTGCTGCATAGTTGCTGTAGTGTCATAGTTGATATGGAAAAACAAATATGAATGCATGATCTATTACTCAAAGTATTATTACTATTTTGATTGAATTAGCTTTAGTTTACAGTTAAATCTAAGATACATTTTTAGAATATTTGTTGTGTGCGTTTTGTTAGTTGTGTAGTGTAAGTTAGCTTTGATATACAGTACTTTAGAACTTATTTATTTCAGTTGGTTGCCAAGGCAACATTTCAGTTGTTTTGAATTTGTTTATGCATGTCAGATGCAGTATCAGTACATTCATACGGCATATTTTGCAATATATTTTACAAGTTAAGGTACACATTAGGTCACATTAATATTAATATTTCATTTTAATTAATTAGTTAATATTAAGTCATCCAATATAATATTAAGTATTCTTCCTCTTCTTCCTGTTTCCAGCATACATAATTTCACCCCCAAGGTGGGCGAGAAAGATACCCAGAGGGCCATTCGCCAGGCCTTCGATGTCTGGCAGACAGTGACCCCTCTGACCTTTCAGGAAGTGGCCTATTCGGAGATCAAGAACGAGGGTAAAGAGGCAGACATAATGATCTTCTTTGCCTCTGGTTTCCATGGTGACAGTTCCCCTTTTGATGGAGAGGGAGGTTTTTTAGCTCATGCATATTTCCCCGGACCCGGAATTGGCGGAGACACACACTTTGACTCTGATGAGCCCTGGACGTTAGGAAATGCAAATCACGACGGTAAGTGTGGCGCTATGACGATAAACTGTGATTTGTTGTTTCATTTAGTTTCCAATTGTAAATGATTATTGCTAATAGCAAAAACTAAATAATGAACTCGTGTGAACAATTTCTTGCCAAAGCGATCTTTTCTGGAGAACTTTGCTCCGGGCGGTAAACACCTTTGAACTCCCATTGGTTCTTGGTGATTATGTAATAGGTGGGTGTGGCTCTGAGGCTCCGCCTTCTTTGAGTTTCATCAGTCCTTTGAGGTCAGAGACCATGAACACACTCGAGAGCTGCATTGTAGTAGTCTAATTGAAAGTGACACTGACATTGTTAATAAAGCTATAAAGCTGCTTGCATTAAAGCAATATATTGTATAAAGTGCTGTATAAATAAACGTGACTTGAATGGAGGGCTTTCCAGATGCTTTCTTAACCGGTGTTTTCTCACCGCTGGCATGTTTGTAGTGTGCTTATTTTGTTATTGAGACGACATATTTACGTATTAATCTAAATGGCAAACCCGGCAGCATGTTAGCTAACAGTATATTGCTGCAAAAGATATTTCCAACATCATTTTGACCCTTAAATAAAGAAAACAAGAGTATATTGAAGCCTTTAGTGTTACTTACCAACATTATGTTTTGATCTGATCAAGCATGACAATGGCTGATATAGAATGACTGACCTGACATGTCTGCTCTCATAATCTCCAAAATTATTTTTATTCCCAGACTTTTTCTTTGCAGACGTATAAAAGGTGCTACAATTGTCGCAAAACGAGACAAGGTGCCTTTATATTTTATTATTTATATGTAATATTTTATTTTATATTCTGTTTTGTATGATTAGTTTATGTGTTTTATTTAGTAGGGAAACGTTTGATTATTAATCGGGATAGGATGGATGGATTTTCCAGATTTTTCTGCAGCTGTAGATAAATAGATCAGTCAGATGTGTAGAGGCGAATCTTCTCGTGTGGTAAACTGGAGCAGTGAGCTGAGGAGCATCAGTACACACCACAGGGGAAACATCAAGAAAACACAGAGCATTGCGTTCTTCCTTCTGTGCCTGCGTGCTGCATATTTGCTGTGTTAACTTTGCCTGGGTGCTGCAATGTCAGCAGTTCAAGTACACGCTTTATAGAACACAGAATCTGTACCTTGTTCACGTACACGCACACGTACTTTGACTTCTTCACAGCTCTATTCCTCTACACACCATATCATCCCTAGTGAATACATATCAAAAGTAACCAGTTTTCAACAAACAGTAGATATAGATTTTATATTTTATTTATTCACAATAATACTCCTTGACAGAACACAAAATCAATTTCTTTTTAAAGAGACGGAGAATGAAATAGACAGATAAATTGGACTGGATGAGAGAGTGAGGGTTGATAAAGAAGAAAGGCTTTGGCCAAGAGCACCTCTAAGAAAGGAGAAGTAGTTTGTAATAAGAAAAATGTACAATACGCTTTGTGAGCCATCTGATGCTTGTAGCACCCATAGACGCCAACCAACAGATCAGGCTATTTCTGTGATTGAGTGATATGGTGTCACGTCCCTTCTGTGTTTCCAAAGATCTGAACATGTCAGTCTCGACTGAGTCATGTTCTGGTGACAGCGTACACTTGCATCCCATGTTTAAGATGTTCTTTTAGGATTCTGGGTACAAACAGCCTTTTTTCACATGACTACATAAGTTCAAAGATATAGACACGCAGAGAAATCAGCGCTAAAAAGGCGAGGACAGTTATTTTTGCGGCTGACCTTATTGCATATGCACTTATTTTCTCTGTAAGATGCAATATTTATGGGAGGAGAGTATTTCAATGAATCACGCAACGCGATTTACTAAGGTGTATTTACTGGTGCCAATGTACTGGTATTTGCACCACTATTTACATCCCCCAAACAAGCTTGTCTTAAAGGGTAAGTTCACCCAAAAATGTAAATTATGTCATTAATGACTCCCCCTCATGTCGTCCTGAGCCCGTAAGACCTCTGTTAATCTTCAGAACACAGTTTAAGATATTTTAGATTTAGTCCGAGAGCTTTCTGTCCCTCCACTGAAAATGTGTGTACACTGACTCTCAGATAAAAAGGTACAAAAGCTGTCACTGGGGCTGTACCTTTTCAAAAGATACACTTTTGTACTTAAATGCTGCATATTGGTACCTTACTGGTACATATTAGCACCTAAAATGTACATATGAACACCTCAAATTTACATATTAGCACCCAAAATGTACATATTAGCACCTAAAATGTACATATCAGCACCTGAAATGTACATATCAGCACCTAAAATGTACATATGAACACCTCAAATGTACATATTAGCACTCAAAATGTACATATTAGCACCTGAAATGTACATATCAGCACCTAAAATGTACATATGAACACCTCAAATTTACATATTAGCACCCAAAATGTACATTAGCACCTAAAATGTACATATGAACACCTCAAATGTACATATTAGCACCCAAAATGTACATATTAGCACCTAAAATGTCCATCAGCACCTGAAATGTACATATCAGCACCTAAAATGTACAAATGAACACCTCAAATTTACATATTAGCACCTAAAATGTACATATCAGCACCTGAAATGTACATATTAGCACCTAAAATGTACATATGAACACCCAAAATTTGCGGTTTTCTAGGCTGATATGACTACTATACTCATTCTTGCGTAATAATCGGGAAACTTCACTGCCGTACCATGAGTGCAGCAGGCGCAATGATTACACAAACTTAGTCCCGGTCACGTTGGAAGCTAGGCACTAAAGGTGAAAGTGATGAAAAATAAGACTTTTCAAAAAAGAAAAACCACAAATACATGTTATATTGCACCCCATAAACACAATCATGCAAAGAAAAAAAGCACTGCAGTAAACCACCCCTTTAATTATATGCAGAGCTTAGGCTTTGCATTGGTAACTCTCAAATTCTGATTAGTAATGATTCAAAGATGCATTTGACCTTTAACCTTTATCTTTCAGGCAATGACCTTTTCCTGGTGGCCGTACACGAATTGGGACACGCATTAGGTCTGGAACATTCCAATGACCCCAGTGCAATCATGGCCCCCTTCTATCAATACATGGACACGCACAACTTCAAACTGCCTCTAGATGACCTTCAGGGGATCCAGAAAATCTACGGTACAATTAGGATCTCTAATAGCTCATTTTTAAGCAAGGATATAGATTACACTTGAATTGCCATGGAAGGCTGACTAAACTTTGTTCTTCTGCAGGAATTCCCACAGCCATGCTGGAGCCCACTCGACCTCTTCCTACTCTACCTGCTCGACGCACACACTCCACCTCTGAGAGAAAACACGACCGGCAGTCTCGCCCCGCTCGGCCGCCCTCTGGAGATCGCCCCTTCTCTCCTGGCAATGGAAAACCCAACATCTGCGATGGCAACTTCAACACGGTGGCCTTCTTTCGCCGGGAGATGTTTGTTTTTAAGGTGAATTGCATCCGTTCCCTTTTTAAATATTAATAAATGATAATAAAATGAGCATAATATAGATCATTTTAGTCAAATTTAGTTGTTTCAAAAAGTTTAAATAATTATCTATTAATCTAAAATTTATAAATTAATTATTTTATTTAGACAAAATAGTATAGTATTTTAATTATCATTTATCAGTTGTTAGGCATAATGTAAATGTATATATTATATATATATATATATATTGGCTTATCAGTATTGGACATATATTTAATTGATCCTAATCTTTTATTCATCACAGGATCGCTGGTTCTGGCGTTTGCGCAACAACAAAGTTCAGGAAGGCTATCCCATGTTGATAGACCAGTTCTGGAAGGGTTTACCTCCTCGCATTGATGCTGCTTATGAGAGATCAGATGGCAAATTTGTGTTCTTCAAAGGTAAGATTTATTATATTAGTTGTCATGACTTTAATTCGAAGAATAGTAAGTGATAATTGCTTGATATAATATGTGCAGCCTCAGGCTAGTTCTAAAAGCTCTGATTGTTTTATAACATCTTTTGTAATAACTGCAAATTGATACCAAATACATCCTAAAGTCTTAATAAAAAGCTCTGTATTGAAGTACCTTAATATGGCCTAGATAATAAAGTGAAGCCATATGCATTAAACATCTGTTGCCTTGTTTCGATCAGTTTCTGCTCAAATCAACGTATTTTTTTCAGGCTGACTAATTCCTTTTATGCACTTTTTTAATTCAAGTTTTTGTAATAAAAAATGTTGTTAGATTGTGGAAAAGGAAAGGTCTTCATTTATCTACTGTATAGTGTTTATCCTCCACTGGGCCTGACAGCCTTAGTGAATCCATTCAGTACTTTATTATTCTGTCTGTTCTCTCAAACGATCTCTCTCTATCTCGCCGTCCTCTCTCTCTCTTTCTCATTAAATTAGCCCGGCGCAGTCTTGCTGCGCAACGAGAGCCTGGATGAGATATTTATAGCCCGAGTCTCCTGTTCTGTGATGTTTCATGAGAAAACAAGCTTGCAGGATGCCCTATGGTTATCTCAGAGAATGCACATCAGTATTAATAGATAAAAGGGCGATTAACTACAGTCCTGCTGGCATTTCAGCATCTGAACTACACACAATACTGTTTACTGTGCTGAAATAATGCCACATTTAAAAAAATTTCAGTGCAAATGCTGGAAATCTCCTTTTTGTGTAGGTTAGGCTCATTTTAGGTTGCGGGTAATTTGCAAAATTCAGTGCACAACCACAATATTGCAAGGGGGAAAAAAAACAAAAAAATACCATATGAATTAAAAGATTTTAACACTAAAAAAGCCATGTTTTCTATTGTGACCATGGTAGATCTTTACAATAAGGTCTAATTTGTTAAAATGAATATAAAACTAACATATAATAGTTGGTCGCTGTATTAAACCATAACCACATAATCCAACTGACAACCAAACTAAGGGTACGTTTACACACCAATGATGTACTAAAAAACGGAAACGTTTTTCGTTTGCTTTTTTCACTTACAGACAATTATTTTGTCAAAACGATCCCGTTCACACGGATCTGCGAAAACGACTAATTATTCCACAGCCAGGCCACTAGTTGGCGATGTCTCTGATAAAGAAACAGACGTCATCGTTTTCACGAATTCGCAATTTTGTTGTTTACATGAAAATGATAACGGTATCGTTTTCAAAAACTTGAACTTTGACGCTTGTTTTTTAAAACCTTGCATTTTAAGTCCCCCCAAACGCCTTTGTCGTGTGAATGAATGGTCGTGGTGCATTAACTAATTTTAACAAATACAACTTTTGATTTCAACTCTTTCCCTGCCAGTGTTTTTTTTTTTTACATTTTGAGAAAATTGCATTTTTGTCAAAGACTACATCTGGTTCGGATTCAGAATGATGATCAAAGCAGATTGATAGCTTTTCTCTTTCTGCTTCTTTTTCGCCTGTGTTTTGATCCAGAGATTCTGCACTATTTCAGATGACATGTCATAGCGCCCCCTATCGTATAACAGTGAAAACACGGAAAGCTGGAAATTTCCGTCAATAGAGTGCCGAAGTTACGACGTCACTCTGTAGGCCAAAACGACAGAAGTGAGTTAGCATTTAGCACTACCGGTTCCCTCGCTCTAAAGTCTATCTAAATTTTTTTATGGGTTTTTGCTAAATCGCTTGAAATAAGGTCTGTGGTGAACAAAGCCTCCAAATATTTTCACGTTTATATCTAGACTAGAACACACCGTTATAACCTGCTTGAGGTGTTTTAAACTTTATTGTTTCTGCTTGTGTTTTTAAAAAAACTTTATATAGGCTTCAAAATGTATCAATTTTGGATTAACTTGTAAAGATTATCTTGACAGACAAAACGTGTAAGGTTCACAACTCTTTGTTAAACACAGATCTTGTTTTTTGCAATTTTCCAAAAGTCTATGGGGAAAATGCATAGCTTTTCGACCGAGGGAACCCATGCGCTGCTAACTTCCAAGTTGTCCTACAAAGTGACGTAATCACTTCGGCACTCTATAGTGTGGAGTTAAAGATGTGCTGTCAAACGATTAAAATATTTAATCACGATTAATTGCATTAATGTCATAGTTAACTCATGATTAATCGCAAATTTGAATCTGTTCTAAATGTCTCTTGATTTCTTTTTGTCCCATAAGCATAGATATTTTTGGTGTTATGCAGTAACAATTCAATATATCTAATTTAATTTTGACCTCATCTAACACTGCCTCTTGTTTTGACTCTAGGGGATAAATACTGGGTCTTTAAGGAGGTTACGGCAGAGCCCGGGTACCCTCACAGCCTGGTGGAGTTGGGCAACTGTCTGCCCCGCGATGGCATCGACACAGCCTTACGTTGGGAACCCGTGGGCAAAACATACTTCTTTAAGGGTGACCAGTACTGGCGTTATAACGAGGAGAAGCGTACAGCTGACCCAGGCTACCCCAAACCCATCAGTATCTGGAAGGGCATCCCTGATGCGCCGCAAGGAGCCTTTGTCAGTCGTGAAGGATGTAAGTCATCGAGGTTCCAATATCCAATCAATATTTAATGTGGCAATCAGCCATGTGGTCGGTGGGCATGTTATCTGACCGCTTCGCTCCGGTTTGAGAATTTAAAGTAGGTTGAGCTTTGGTCTTGAGTGTGTAGTACTGGTCTAATCTGTTGTGCAATGCATTATAATCAGTGAAAGCTTGGATAGCTGTCATTGCCCTGAAAGCAGATTTAAAAGCCATAAATGCACAGCTGAAACCGCACGTTCAATATTAATGCTTGGAAACCGTAAACATGAATGATATTACTTGGAGGAAGAATAGTGCATTTAACCATTTATTAAGTGTTGGTTTATTTTATCATCTTCTGTTCCTGCTATTTTGACACCATGTTCATCTTACGCACCATGCTTCGGTGTTTTCGTTGGTTGCGCTGGGGTCTTGTGTTGCGCTCATCCTTGTAGAGCTATTGATTAGTGTTTGTTTGGCGCAGTCACTGCAATATTGTGGTGTTGACAGTGAGTGTTTTAGCTCTGACTCATCCTCAGTGGCGATCGGATAGCAGGTCTGGATTGGCACAGGGGCCGGGAGAAAAGGCAGACACAACTTTCGGGTATTAAAATTCAGTCACAATCAATGCATGATTACAAATATAGTAAAATGGCAGCTGTTCATAGCTAGATGTAATATTATATTTTATTACTAGCTAATTTAATGGTGTTATGTGGCTCAGAAGTTTTAATGCAGGGAACATAATATCCAAATGATTAAATCATTGAAAGGTACTATGGAAAGAGGGAATGTGCTTTAATTCTTTAAAAGTGGTACTATAATTGAGATATATAGCCAAGAAACAGAATATATGCCTTTGATGGCATTCAGTATTAATGTATTTGCACTGAAGATGCTGCCCCTATAGCTATAAAGATGCTATAAAGATATTTAAAATGTTTTTTTTTATCAAAAAAAAAAAAAAATTCTATTTGACATTTTTATCAAATGTTTTTTAAAACCTTGATAATATTCATTTTTCAGAATGTTGGATAATGTCATATTACCAACAAAATAATATCAAATACATACCTAGAATATGAATAAATTAGAAATATGTAAAAAATCACAATCTAAATTGTGAAACTAAAATGGACGACTTTGGATGGACCGAGATACAGTTGCCCAAATGATATTCTCACTTTTGCTGTTTTGGCTTGATGTCAGTCTGGTCGAATGGTAAATACTCAAGTGTCTTTCACTAGAGTCTAGTATTTCTGCTGTGGCTGCATAGAATTGCAGATTTCTCCTTCTTGTCTCTCTAGAGTTTTATCCAGTGAAGGAATGATCATCTTTTTCTGTGAGGCATGTCAAAACCTCCATCTCATCATTGAGTCCCGAGCCTAGGGCCAGGACCCAAGATAGAGAAGCCAAGAGGGTTATATGGACTTTTTGGTCTGCCTGTAGCTCATGATTTTTCTGTCACTCAGATTTTGCAAGAGGGATTTGGCATGTTTTGCTCGGCAAGATAGCGAGTTAGAGAGGAAGGATGAGCACTTCATCAATCACAACCTCAGGGGTTGCTGTCTAAAGCCTCCTCCTCACTGTATTTACGTGTAGTTTTGGGTCTGTGCCCGTCTGTGAGTGTTTCAGATGCATTTTGTTTATGTGGCATTGGCAATCAAACTGACAGCTCTCTGAGGGATTGTGTAACACTGGAACAACTTTTCGAAATACTGTGTCATTGAGTTTTCTCAAGGACAGCTATTTATGTGATCATGAATTATGAATTGAGCTTTCTGTAAATGTTGCCTACATTTAGCATGTAAATATTTGCTTGCATTGAATGGCTTTCTACCTATTCAAACTGATCTCATGAAGTAGAGTGTGTATGACACGCCAATTAGTATTTCCATTTTTTGCGTGCTATCAACACGCATAATCGCTTTTCAACGTGTTTATGAACACCGTTGACCGTTATTACTGTATATATAAATATATGACTTACCTCAACCCAGTCCCTAAACCTAACCGTCACTGGGGTTAATGGCATTTGTGACTGTTCCCTTACCATCCTCCCCAAATGTAGATGTACATTTTGCTTTGTTTTGGTCGGACATTTGACGGCGTTTACGGACACGCGGAATGACGCGGACGTTAATGGCGTAGACGTTAACACGCGGATAGCTCAAAATGCGTCGAGATAACACGCCACTTGACTCGAAATTGGCGTGTATGTTTACGCAAAAGTCATGATGTCATGTTGACCTATCGATCTGTTCGTGTTTACAACTTTAGATTGCCAATTCTTTTTGTACAATATCTCATTCTAATCGTGAATTTCCTGTCAGTAAAAACTATGGAAGTTATTACTTAAATGTTCAAATAATTTACAAAATTAATTAACAAATGAACTACAAATAAGCAAACACTCTGGCTCAGTGACATTTCGAAACATTTCCCACATTGTTTGAGCATCTCCACCAGTGGCATTTACTCAAACAATGGCGTGAGTTTGGGGGCGGGATTATCTGTTTGTTGACCAATAGTGGATGAGTTCCGGTTATGGGTATGTTCTGATATCTTAATTTGTTTCTTTCCTAGTTTATACCTACTTTTACAAGGGGAAGGATTACTGGAAGTTCGACAACCAGAAGTTAACGGTGGAGCCAGGCTACCCCAAATCAATCGTCAAAGACTGGATGGGCTGCGATCAGTCAGAAGTAGAAAAGAACAAGGACCGTCACCTTCCACACGATGACGTCGACATCATGGTCGCCATTAACGACGTACCCAGCACTGTAAACGCAATCGCTGTGGTCATCCCATGCATCCTCTCACTGTGCATTCTGGTCCTTGTATATACTATCTTCCAGTTCAAGAACAAAAACGTCCAACAGCACGTGACCTACTACAAACACCCCGTGCAGGAGTGGGTATGACGGACCGAGGGGCGCGATGGACCCCGGATGCTTGAGAACAGAACATAAATGAGGGCTACTATGCTGAGGTTTGACCAGTGCCTGTTTCATGAACAACCTTGTCCCAGAAAGTGAACAAAAGACGAGGCAAGGGAGTTTCCTCTTCCTTCCCGCATAAGACAAAACTTTACAACAAAAATTGCAATTTTTTAGCATGAGCCCAACGGGCAAATCTCCTGGGGATTGAACATGTGAAGTTGTGCCCTGGCCTTACGCTAACCAGGTGAAGTCTTGACGGTCACTTCAGCTTTGACCGAAACCATCACTTTCTCTTCTCTGGGAGAGTAAGAAGAACGGCAAATTTGCGGAACGCCAGCAAATCCTTGTTTCGTTCTCAACATAAACTTGTACATGAAGTATTATCAAAGAAATGAATTGAGCAAAACGACAAAAAAAGGACTTGAAAACCATGTAGGTAGAAAGGCCATAGAAAAGAATACCAAGGAATTCTTGCAGTCTTTTTCATTTATGGGGAGGATCTCCGCTAGCACTCCTCGAAGACTGCAACGTGTTTTTAGGTGGCTTTTTTAAGAATTAATTAGCTTCATAACATCAATCTGAATGTTTGTTTGCATCGTTTCCCCTTTTCTCTGCTGCCCACCATTTTTCACAAAGTAGGAAGAACGATTTTTAAGGAACTAGGGCAGTCTTAACACCTCCTCCCTCTTGCTACTGTACACTATTCCTTTTCTTCTTATGCTGTATTTATCAGTCGGCAACAAAAGATCCTTTCTTTTCGATCAGACGGCACTTGCATTACAGTCTTTATAGGAGAGTAAATTTGTGTCATAACAGGTTGTTTAGGATTATGCCTATTCCTTGCAATCCTTTTATTAGTAATTAGTAACGTTTCCCACCTTGTTACCATTTCACCAAGTGTAATATTTGAAACACTGGTGCCAGGCAGGAACACGAACAATGAACAGATCTGAATATGAAATAGCTTTGTTCCCGTTGCCTACAGGAGATGATCTCTCAACTGTTCATCTGTCCTCTTCGAATGAACGTAACATGTATGTCTTGCGTTGAAGTGACTTCAATTTCATGTGTTCGGTGTGGATTGTCTAACACTTTGCTCGAAAATGTCTGTCGGGTGCTTTTATTGGTTCGACTGTGCTATTTAACGGTGAAGTGTGTCTGTACCATATTAACACATCATTTCGTGCTCATCTGCTGTGTGATTGGATAGAATACATTACACATTTGAAGGAGCTGAAATGTAATTGATGTTTTTAGAATTTCAAATGGGACTTTTATGGATTAACCTGAGCGTATATATATAAAAGGTTTGTAGCATCCTAATCACAATATTAAGATGGTAGATTTGGCGAGACTCCCTATAAGGCTTCACTTGGCACATGGTTTATCATTTGATATTGATATTTTTGCCTTAACACATTTAGGTTGCATGTAATGAAATCCTTTTATTTTTCTCTGTGGAAAGAGCATTTTTAGCTACAAAAAGCCACTTTTTGTTAATTCCGCAGAGAGTCGTGTACATATTGTATTCACAGTTCAATGGAGCATGGGTCTGCAACAGAAACTACCTGGCATCTACTTTTAGGTTTCCAATGTGTCTCCACCAATGGTTTGAGCGTTACCATATTTTTACACTGGGCTGGCTTTATAGGCATGGTGTTTGTAACATTACGTCACGACTTTTGTAGTTGCCATATATACATCTGCCCAAACGATCGACCACTCTGAGTTCATCCAATTTTGTAATGCATTTCAACCAATATGAATGTTTTCTGAATAGTCCTGCTGTCTGTTGAAGGCTTTGTGGGTTTGAGAAAATGAGTTGTGTCTTCCAAAGTAACATTTCACCCTCTTTTGTGTGGTCTGTACAGCTTTTGAGCCTTCTTTAAAGGGGAACCATCACGTAACCACTGATTTAAAAGACAAAATAGAGCAAACTGTCAGTGCATTAAGAAAAAGCTTGAGAATCTAATGATACACTGTGCGATTTTATCATTGTACCTTGATACATGATCCCATGGTACTTTTTTTGTTAGAAGAATGCTTGGTGTAATGATTGACTATGGAATGTTTTAGAACATGGTGGAAAAAATGTATATATAGTCTGGTGTTCTGGTCGAATTGGCTCAATGCAGTAGTATTGTGGAGGGGTTACGTGACCCCTTTAAGACATTGTGCCTTGTCTTTAAGTCCGCTATGGCACACTGAACACTGCTCATTTACATTGATTTCCACCTCATTATTTCAACAGTGGATACATGAATACATCCCTTGATATATTATTCAATGCCTTTACTAAGTGAAAACAATGCCTATCTTTGTGGCCCTCCTTCTCGTTTATCATTTTTTGGATCTGTTGTGCGAGCAGCTTGATCGTGGGTAGAGAAGTGGCATGAAATTAGAGCAGATTTTACATGTTTGTGCCCACTTGGGAAAAACTCAACGTTATTGTCTCTCAGATAAGCGTTTTTATTAGTCAGCTCTGAATCTAGAGCACCTGTTCGCAAACAACAAGCAATGTGGCCGTGAACTGAAGTGATCTAATGTTTCGGGTACAGGAAGTACTGGGTGGGAGTATTTTTAATGGAACACACTGTGCATCACCAATTGTCTTCCTCAACTTTCAATCCATCTGATGAGCTGGTGTTGATATAAGAGACAGCAAAACCACTTGCTCTAATAAGCCATGAACTGAAATTTGACAATGTGGCACAATAGTGTGTTCCAGTTCCAAACTAAAGAGGTTTTATGTGTGTTTAGCAGTTCAAATGGTAAGAGTTTAAAAAGGTATGTTCTTTATCAATACGAGGATGTCTTGTGATGGAAGAAAACTCTTGTGGCAAGGCTGCTTAAGTACTCTTGAGTAGATTGGGATCAAAATGTCAAATTTATTTGTAGGATAATGGATAAACTCTAGAAGTTTTTACACATGGTCACGTCATGCATCTTGATCATTCGTATCGCAATCCAAAAGTTTTCTGAAACACAATATCGTTTACTGTACAATCTATTGGCTGATTTGGCGATTAACACGGTTGCTTGTTTTTGTGCAATCCCAAACGTCTGTACGCTGCCGTAATTCAATTTGGGACGACTACAAATGTGTATTTTTGCTATGTTGCATCTACTATGCCATTCAAAACACGTCCAGAAAATAGGTCTCAAATGCCTTTTTTGAAGGCATTAACAAAAATGCATGACGTGACTATGTGTCTCTCAGAATAAGATATGCAGGCATTTTTATCTTTTAATCTGCACTATTAACACTTAAGGATTGGATTGTGAAACAAAACAGGACATTTCGGTTTACAAACCATGCCATTTCATGAGGAATTGTGAAGCTAACGGCGCACTGTGCAAAGCCCGTATTATATGTATATATTAACACAGTGAACATTTAGCAGTGTCGAAAAGTGAAACGTTTAACAGAACTAAAGTGTATTTATCAAAGGTGGGTATCTTTAGAAATGCTTGTCGTACGGTCATGTGAAAGGTTTGTAAAGATAGAGGCTTATCATATGAAAAAAGCTGTTTATTTATCATTAAAGGAGAATTAGGGTATTGTACACATTTTCATTTGAAATCAAGGTGAAGCCATGCCTATAACCACATTAGTTGCACAGACAAATAAATAAATACAGAACTGTACAGGGAGATACATAAATAGGAATTCTCTGGTAATTTGCCTCTTTTTAATGGGTACGATCGTGGCTTCGGACAACAGTCACTTTAAACCCGAGCTGCTGTTGCCTTTTGTTTTTTATGGTCCTTTTATGAGACTTACAATAGGACAAACATATCAGAGGTAGTCAAGGAACTGACTGTATTTATGCTTTTTAATTACAGAGGCTTAATTTTAATGAAGATTTTATCTGAGATAGCTTTAACATTTTTTTTTTCTTTTTATTATTCTTTTTCTTGACTGACCATGGGGGAATTTACTGTATAAGTGTATATAACTGGTTGTTTTTTCCCTTTGACAAGAATTTAAGAGTGAACATCTCACTCTGTAGTTTCAATGAATTCAGATTCTGTCCTTGGACTTTTGATATTTTCTGATTTACAGGTCAAATGTCGCTGTCTGCTCAGCTTCGTCCGGGTTTTAATGGTCATGTAAATACAAAGATTTACTGAAACTTTTCAGACCTTTTGTATTTTCCTTTCACTCTAACGGTAGCCTATGATTTCACATTGTCATGCATAATGTTGATTATTAAGAATGAGAGTGATTGCTTTACTAATATATTAGATATGATTTAAGTTTTATTTCTTGAATCCTGTTTTTGAATCCTTTGGACAATGAGTCGATTTTATTTACGGTTTCAGTCTACAGTTTTACACTGTGTATCTAATATCACCATGTTCAAAGAAATGTCAATAAAAGAAAATTACATTAAGATGTTTGGTGATTTCTGGATCACATTTCATTAGTCCAAGTTGATATCAACAACATAATACATGCTCTTTTGATACAATGCAATCAGTACACAAGAGTAAACTTCGTCTTTGATGTCTTCAAGCACACTGCATGACATTAAAGTCAGAAATTGCATCAAACCCATTCAAACAGCATTGCAACCTCCATGGAGGTTACCAACGTCATCTGTTCAATGTCTCCGCCTCCATGTCTTCTGTTGTCCCACACTGAATCTGGCTCTCATTCATGGACGAAACGATTCATATAGTTGGTATCTGGTCTTTAGTACCAGTTAGTGCAGGATATCATGAAGCTCATGTCGTCTACCTTCCTGGAGCCTATTCGGCATTGAGGCAGGTTGGTGTCTGGATCCAGATGATCCTGGGGCTCAGGACCAGTATCAGTTTGGATACTGGATGAAGATGCTTCACCTTGGAATGGCAGATTGCCTGGATTCCTCTGTCGCTGGTCAACAGCCGAACTGGTACTTTGATCCGACCCCATTTCCTTAAAATACATTAGACTTAGATTAGCTTATATATTTTGCATTCACAGTTGCTAAAATATATTTAATTGATTATTATTTAGATAAATTGGATAAACAAGTTCTACAATATCAATCCAATACTGTAACGTTACCATGTTATACAATCATAATGCATCCATTGTAGATATGTAATGTATTATGGTTTATTTTTCAGATATCTTTAAATGAATCATAAGAATGTTTAATGAAAATCTTCAGAAACTGTTTGCAGAGGAGTCGGTGAGGCAGGAACTCAAAAGAGAGACATCATCTCTCTAACAGGAGGACAGCAATGTATTGAAGACATGGCATGAACTGCATACGAAGCAAGCACTTAGGGAGTGTTTGTCACCGTGACTGAGACAAAAACAGATCAATAGTGTATTAACGAGCCCAGGCACGGCAAAACTTTACCCCACGCAGCCTCCAACCACTGGAATCTAACGTTTTTTCCACAGCTCCGATTAGCTCGCGGTGTTTTGTTTCCAGGCAGAAAACGCAGGGTGGACGTCGTCGAGGGTCACGAGAGCACGCTGCTGCAGTGACGTTTCGCATGTGGCCAGCTAATGGAAGTGTCAACAAAAACGACGTCACAACTGAAACTCAATAGTGATTGGCTTACAAATGCACATAGCTAGGAGAGGTGTGTCCTGTTGCTATGCAGGTTTGTAGTGGATGATAAAAACAACATGGCTCGCCAATCTCAGCCATTTGGAAAACAACTGGTTATAGAGATATATAAAAATAAATTCATTAATTATAGGGCTGTTAAATTAAATAAGGTATGGCAAAAGTGACTTGTTAAATCATCAAGTATTTGTAGTATTTGTAAATTCTTTATTTTTACTTTTTGTAAATGTAATTAATTCCTTGTTTTTTAAAATATTTGTGTTCATTTTATTTTGATCATATGTTGAACAATGTCTTTATAAAATTGTTGTAAAAACACCTTGAATAAAAATACACTTACTACCTGTATGTATATACAGAGGCTTATCATGTGTATTTATAAATGTAGATATATGTATGAGTAGTACACTAAACATTTAAAGTTTAAAAAGGCAATTCAAATTCATTCATTTTACAAGGTATTTGTGTGATTTAGATTCTTATATGGCTTTATTAATTTTATTTTGATATTTTTGTTTGCGAAATTGAATAATTTCTTACTTCATCATTATTATTATTTTAAGTATTATTTAAAAATATTCAGTAAAAAATACGTCAGAACCTATCAACTTTTTGTTTGTTTGTTTGTTTTTTATTTTTGTTTTACAGAAATAGTCTGGTCTTTCCAGAGGGATATAAATGAATATACATGCTATGTCTAATTCAATACAAAAAATCTTTTATTATTACGAATATAAATATTTTGTTGTTAAAGGAATAACGATCTTAATAATACACTTGAGAATAAAAACTAAGGCAGCAGTGTTTCTCATGACAATTAACATGGGTCAATGGTTATCATATCACGTATCGCACATTGACCATACTGACCCTTTCTTTTACTGTCTGATACTGACAGACTGTAAAAAAAATATTGACATTGACGCGTTGACGTCACGTTACGTCGTCAGCACGACAGGAACAGGAAGTGAATTGAACACGTGGTTTACGGTTTTCCACGCTTCTCATCCCTGCCCGTCGGTAAATATAAGATTACTGTTGCAATTGTCTAGAGTTTTATTGTAAAGTCATTACATTTAGTATGTAATATGTATTGTTAACCTGTGTTGGCATTTGAAGTCATAGAATTGGTAGCGTTAATGCCTGGAGAACTATATTTAGCCGACTGCTAACCACTTCGACTAGACGTTAACTGTTGTTACTGTTTAAATTAAAGTTACGTAACGGTACAACATGTTTAACCCGCAGATTTAGCTGAGAATTACTTTATTTAATATTGGTGCCCCAGATACTTATATGTACCTTAAAGTACGATGAAAAAAAACTTTTTTAAATAAAGAGAAAAGTTTAACCCGCTGTTGAGCGTGAAATAACTTAGCCTTTAGCTGTTTAGTAATATTATTGTTATTATAATTTTCTGTTTATGTTTCTATTCTGGATCAAAAACTCGTAGAAATACAATGAAAGCAAGAAATCCAAATAAACATCAGTAAAGAACTTCCCAATGTCAAGGTGCCATATCTAATGTGTGTGTGTGTGTGTGTGTGTGTGTGTGTGTGTGTGAACTAATTTATATGTTACTGTATATATCAAGACCATGTTACAAATGTTTGTTTTATAGTCATGTTTTTTTTTTTTTAAGTTTTCAGTAATATTTATTATCTTAATATAAATGTTTCTCTTCAGTTTCAGACATCTTTGACCAGTCCCATAGCAGAACAATGGCAGTTCGTGCAGCATTTGAGAAGAATAATGAAATTGGGTGCTTCGCCAAGCTTACAAACACATATTGCTTGGTAGCGATTGGCGGTTCAGAAAACTTTTACAGGTAAGTCAGAAATTATATTACTGATGATCTCAATGTGGCCAAATATACATACAGTTTTGGGGAGAAAAAATAAATTAAGAGACCACTGCAAATTTAGCAATTTTCTGGATTTAAAGGGATAGTTCACCCTAAAATAAAAATTGTCAGTAATCACCCACCTTCATATTGTTCCAATCACGTAAGACTTTTGTTCATCTTCGGAACACGAATTAAGATATTTTTGATTGAATCTGAGAGCTGGAAAAGTGCCTTACCAATGCCGCAAAATGAATGGCTTACCTTTCATACTTTCCCATTAAATGATTGTGAGCGTCATCTCAGTTCTCGCTCATGTGTACTTTGGTATGGCCCCCATGATTGCATACACTTGAAATTAAAGTAATGTTTACTTCAGTAGAGATAAAGCCAATATTACAGATACAAGCTGACCAACATTATTTCTCTTATAATAGCTTTAGATTGGCCCTACCGTGGTTTCCCACGTGCACTTATCTAAAGTAACATTACATTAAAACAGGTAAGACACACCCAGTTTTAGATTGGTCAAGCAGCACTTTTGCTGTTCTAAACGGAAATTCACTTCTTGTCTTTGTGAACCACGTACACCTAGTGACAAATATTAGTCGTAACTTATCTGACGCAAAACTTGCGGTAACTTACAGATCCGTTTAATATGCTTGGGGAAACAATTTCAGAGTCAGTCGGAATAAAATCAAATGTAACCATTTATTATGTCTGGTGAATGTATTATGCCAATTTCATAAATCGGTTCAAAGATAATAAATACAAAAATGCTCTGGAATAAAGAGAGAAGATGCGAACCTGGCCCTATAATACATGATGAGTAGTCTCTTGCATACACTCTGCTTCACAGGCTAATTCGAGTTATATATCGCCCTGAGCCTCTCGTTGCTTTTCTTTAGACAGAAACTTCTTTCACACGGAAACATTTGCGAACAATGGGAATTTGTGTTCTGAGTTTACACCTTTTGGGATCAGGATGCCTTTTTCCTTGAAGACACACCCTCCTCTGTGCACAAGTTATCTCTAAACTCTTAAAAACTTTATTACCTTTTGGATTGCTTCTGTGGAGAATGAGACCTTTGTACTTGTTGCATTGAGACATTTCAAATGATATCAAACATGTATAATACTGTATGATAATTATTCACATAAAATCATATATATTTTTGGGTGAATATCTGGTCATCTCAGTGAGAGAGAGAGACAACATGGGGAAGGTGATTGACTCGGGATGCTAGTTTCTCATGTTCATTTCGAGAAAGGTCCTTTGTTTTCTCGGGGAGTGTTCGTTCCTCAACCAGACTGCTTTCTAATTTCTCAAATCTTGCAATGACTTATTTTTTTGTAAGACTAGTTCTCATTTTTTGCCAATAAATGACTTGACATTTGGATGAAATGTTGTCGATTTATAGAATAGAACAAAATTGTTCAATTGATTCTGAGAAACCTCTAATTTTGCAGTGGTCTTTCCAGAGATGTGCCTTCATAGAGTCGCTTCAGAGTCACTTCTTTTCCGAATGCTTCTTGTTTTTCCCCACAGTGTCTTTGAAGGTGAGCTGTCAGAAACAATACCTGTCGTTCATGCTTCTATAGCAGGATGTCGAATCATTGGCAGAATGTGTGTGGGTAAGAGCATTTATCTAATTCAATTTATCTTATGTTTGTATTAGGGCTGTCAACTTTAGTCGTTTAGTCGACTAATCGGTCGATGCCGTCGTGGTCGACTGACATTCTTATTGGTCGACCAGTTGCATATTTTTTTTTTTTTTTTTTTTTTACCAATAGAAGGAATTTTTCAATGACTTACTCCTTGATATTCATTCATTTATAAGCAGTTATTTATTACTGTATTCTAAATATAATTAGCCTATGTTTTGTCCCCAACTTTAAAATGCTTTAATTTAGGCTATTTTTGTAACTGCGCCACAGTTTAGCGCACACACATAATACACTCGGGAACCGCACCTGTGTCTGGCTGCGCTGCTGCTTGCGCTCGGTAAGGGATGCTGTATTCATTCTGTTAGAACGCTGCTTGTTTTGGCTTTAGTCGACAAAATGTCCAGGAAATATAAATCTTTTGTCTGGCTGCATTTTAAAACAAAGACGACAAGACTGTGGAGGGAGGCGATCGCGTTGCCATTATGAGCGCGCAAGTCGCGCGCCTACATTTAAAATCGAACTTGAGCGCGAAAAAGACGTGAGCAGCCTTTTAACGGCTATATCATGCTGACTCAATAGATTGTGTTTTCTTAATGTTTTCGTTTTTATTTGTACACTTGACGCATTTGAAAATAGCCTAAATAATGCAACAAAACGAAAATAAACCTATACGCGGTCCTACAGCCTATTATAGGATTGTTTTTAAGTTATTTGGGTTTTTTTGAGTGTTGTTTAAAACGCCTTGATCGTCAGGACTAAAGTTAACCCATAGCTTTGAAAGTAAAGAAGAATATAAAGCCTGTATAAACGAGAGCTTTTGTTGGGATTTTTCATTATGTGGCAGATAGCAGTTATATTTTTTGCAGCGTGTGGTGTGGTCAGGTGCGCGATTGGGACTGTACTATAGACCTAGGACAGAGCTCTTCACTTTTTGCAGTTAAAAAATCACTTAATTTTCAAAGAATTGTATTATTATTATAGTTTTATTTATTTGTGATGTTTTTTCGTTGTTGTTTTATAAATGCTCAATGACAATTGTTTAAAAAAAATGTTTAATCAAAACATCACGTTTTTTTTTTTTTTTTTTTTTAGTCGACTAATCGTTGAGCAGGACTCGACTTTGGTCGACTAAGGATTTCTTTGGTTGAATACAGCCCTAGTTTGTATACATTTCTGCAGGATTAATACCATTTATTTCATATGTTGAGTATAGGGCTGGGTATTGACACAAATTTCACGATTCGATTTCGATTCACAAGCTTGCAATTCGATTCGATTTCGATTCAATATTGATTATTTTGGATATCAGTTACAATAAATGGCAAATTTTCTCAAGGAAATCAAATCTCTTAACTAATGCTTTAAACTATGGGAGTCTAGTTGTAGCCTACTAGGCTTCATTAGCCTAATATGAAGGTAATAATTAACTGTTTTTTTTATAATAAGAAGATTATATGAAATATAAACATTTAAATGGTGGCTGTCATAAACATTTGCCAGATTTATTCAAATATGCATTAAAGGGCACCTATTATGGAAAATTCACTTTAATTTTTAATTTATTTTTTATTTTTTTTGGATGCGCGCAGCCGCAATACAATGATCCATTCATTCAAAAGAAACAGGATGACTAAATGATTCTTGAGATTTAAGAATCGATATAGGTTCGTAAAAATGAGAATCGATTAATATCAAGAAATCGATATTACCCAGCCCTAGTTGAGTAGCCCTCAAACCGTATTCACTTTATAGCCCTTAATCTTGTAATTGTGGATAAATGTGGGCACAGAGGACTCGGGTGTGATCCTAATTTTTATTTATTATAAATGTTATATCACTGTCTTCGATAAAGTTTTGTCTTTCCATTTATGGTTTTTTTTTTATTTTGGGGGTATTTTTGAGTTTATTTACTTCAAAAAGTACCATATTTTCTATGTAAATTATTTCTATGTAAATTAATTACTATGTAGTTTTATAAAATATAATTCCAATAAGTTCTTAGAGCTAAAACCTAAAGATGAAGTGACTTTGCTGTCACCTGGTGTCTTATTTTGGCTTATTTTAGAATGCTCTAAATTACAGTTTTTCCCATTCATTTCTATGGGTGCCCATTTTTGATCCAAATACAAATTAAGGAGTTTTTTTTTTCACCCACTTAACATTGTAAAATTGAGTCAAAAAATGGTGTGTTCAGGAGGCAAACTTAGGAAAAGTAGCCAAGTCTTGTACCGCTCACATCAAGGGAAGTATTTTTTTAAAATAAATCAAAACTATTTTGTCCACATTAGTCCAGAATACAGTTTTAGGGTTAAAATACAAGAACGCGTGCGTCTGTGAATAATGTAGCCTTTCTCAATTTAATCTAGGTCAGATTAGGTCTTGCTACTTTTGTCTGTCCTCATTCCTGATGTATAATAAATGTTGTGTGTGTGTGTCTGGGGATGTGTGTCTCTTCCACAGGAAATCGTCACGGTCTCTTAGTGCCCAACAACACGACAGATCAAGAGTTACAGCACATTAGGAACTGCCTGCCAGATTCGGTGCGGATTCAGAGAGTCGAAGAGCGTCTTTCTGCGCTGGGTAACGTCATCGCTTGTAACGACTACGTTGCTCTTGTCCATCCTGACCTAGACAGAGTAAGGACATCCCTAATGGCAAACTGTATGAAATCAGAGCTTTCGCCTGATGTCTCAACACTTTGCCACAAAGTTGGTGTTTTTTTGTATTAAGTTTAGGGCATTATTGTCCTCAGGAAACAGAAGAGATTCTTGCAGACACTCTAAAGGTGGAAGTGTTCCGGCAGACGATTGCAGAGCAGGTGCTTGTGGGTAGTTACTGCACCTTCAGTAACCGGGGAGGCCTCGTCCACCCCAAAACCTCCATAGAAGATCAAGATGAACTCTCGTCACTCCTGCAAGTGCCTTTAGTGGTGAGTGACGTCTGTCACAATCAGATTGACTTCTGCACAATTGTTATATATTATATTCAAAATATATGCACAGTAAGAGTTTTTAAATATTCTTATTGACTTGATGAAATTCGTCTGCACAATTGTTAGATGTTATACTCAATACATGCACAAAAGCATGGGGTCGGTAAGAGTTTTTAAATATTCTTATTAAGTAAAGATGCATTAAATTGATCAAAAGTGACAGTAAAGGCATTTAGGATGTTACAAAATATTTCTATTTCAAATAAAGGCTGTTTTTTTTTTAACTTTTCATTCACACAGAACTATATTAAATGGCACAACTGTCGTTTCTTCAGCTTCAAATCAGCATATTAGAATGATTTCTGAAGGATCACGTGACTGAAAATCATGTATTAATGTTTCAATTTTCAACATCATTACATACAACATTTTTATGTAATGACGACATTTAAAATAACATTTTAAAATATGTTAAAATAGTTCAACTTAGTAGTTAGTTAAACTTGTTATGTTTATGATTGTATGATTAAATAAATGCAGCCCTGATGAGCATAATGTTTCAAAAACATTGAAAAAAATTACCAACCCCAAACTTTTGAATAGTAGGTGGTTACTATGATGTGCATCGATAATATTTCCTATGCTTAGCTTTTGTATATCAGCATTTTGCTATAAATGTATTTGAAATGACTTTGTAGTCTACTAGGGACACAAGTATTCACTAAATCATCAAACCCTAGATTAAAGTAGCTGTTGTGTTTAGGTGGAAACCCTCATGGCTGTATGCAAGAGACTTGTTAGTTCCTCTACTCTTCTGTTGGCTAATTGATTAACGTGTTGTTTCCTCTTTCAAGGCTGGAACGGTCAATCGTGGTAGTGAGGTGATCGCTGCTGGTATGGTGGTAAACGACTGGTGTGCTTTCTGTGGACTGGACACCACGAGCACTGAGCTGTCCGTCATCGAGAGCGTCTTCAGGTTGAGTGAAACGCAGCCCAGCGCCATCGCAACTACTTTGAGAGACTCGCTCATCGACAGGTATGTGATGACAACTTCATGGGGCATCTCAGTCCAGAGGGAAGTACATATAGGATCAAATATTAACAAAATGGGCTGATTTTAAGCAAAAGACTAATATTTCAAAGTTTGATCTTAGACTAAACCTCATTATTCCTTCTTTTCCAGTCTCACATAAAACTGAAGCGGTTTTGCATATTTGAGAGAGTGGACCTGGAAGTCAATATTAAGATGTTTTGAAGGCTGATTATGTCTCCATTCAGGGAGAAGCGCACTCTTGCCTTCATACCATGAGGAAACATGTTGTCATTGTAATATTCATGTATGAACTGCCTGTCGCACTCATTTTGTAAAATGCCAAAATGAATAACCTTGTTAGATGGCTGCTTTTATCTGAATTAGTCACTTCAAATAAAAGACTATTCTTCAAATGTTGATAAATGTAGAACTTGTTTCCTTACACAATGCAGCATCAATAAAGCTGTGCATGATCAACACAGTAGGTCTCGTATGCAGTCAGACGAACAATAAAAGGCTTTTGACAACATCCTGATGCAATAACTGTTTTATTGAGAGCTCAGAAACGTGCCAGTATGAATAGTGCAGTTCAGCTGAACATGGTCATCTTTAACACGGCTTGATTCTTTGGTATTTTCTGATTTGCATATTTACATTTTAACACATCAAAGCATGTTTAATGTAGAATATGAAAATTGTGATAATAAAAGTGAAAGTGACACCAAATGAATGGAATGTGGCAAAATATGAGCAAAAAAAAAACAAACAAAAAAAACAGTAAATTGAAAAAATGTCAACCACCTTTCAAAAACATCTTACCAGCCCCAAACTTTTGAACAAAGTTTCTAATTCAAACCAAGGCTGCATGTATTTCCTCAAGTTCATTCATTTGAAATAGAACTCTGTTGTAACATTATAAATGCCTTTAGTCACTTTTGACAAGTTAAATGCACTCTCCTGAATACAAGTATTTCTTTCTTTTTCTAAAAAAAGAGGAAAAAATCCTTTCCGACTCCAAACTTTGAAAAGGTTGCGTGTGAAGCATATTTTAAACATGGAAAAAATCATGAAAATAGTAAGAAGGGAAAAAAAGCCCATAAGGCATTTGCTTTTGGTATAGATCATTGTACATGGTTTTTAAAGTTGATCACTAAGGCTACGTTCACACTGCAGGCTGAAACAACCTAATTCCGTTTTTTTTTGCCCCTATGCGACCTGTATCTGATATTTTCATGACAGTCTGAACGACACAGATCCGATCTTTTCAAATCTGACCCAGGCCACTTGGGTATGTGGTCCAAATCCGATATGTATCCGATCTTTTGAAATGCGACTTCAATCTGAACGGCCAGGTCACATATATCCAACACGCACGTCATTGCACGCACCTGTAGCTAGCCAATACACGCTAACTCCAATGCGTTTCTGCTGCAGACGTGTCTCTTCCCCAGTGTTGTGCCTGAACGTGTTCATGTATTTCTGCCTGATGAACATTACTGTGAATACGTTCATTCTGGTGTCTGTGAACGTGCGCTCTCTGTCAGTTTAACTTCGTACAGTAGGGTGCCAGATTTCTATAGAGCCTTCCAGGCGAAAATCTGGCTAAAACACATGTAAACATGTCTTAAAATGTAGCAAAAAAACACCCAATCTGGCAACACCAGCCAGCAGTGTCGCACCGCGGCCGCCGGTGACAAAGCAAGGAGCGCCGCGGACACGCACTATCAATTAAACGGGTTTTATGACGAGGTCGGTGAGGATCGGAAAAATCTTACATTTATGTGCAAACTTTGCCCGTCGATAAAATAATTATTGTCTGTCTTTGTATATGGGCTGTGGCAATAATAATAATAAAACAAAAGCTCGCAACATATGAAAAAAAAAAAAGAACTATTCCGCAAACAACAAGTGACGTCGTTGACCGTTGATTACTCTTCTGCGCATGCGGGTCACTTCTGGGTCATTTCACGTTCAGATCACAGAACGGCCTGGCAAAAAAATCGGAATTCAGCATTAAGCCCTGCTGTGTGAACGTAGCCTTAACACTGTAGCCAGCATGGTTTTAAATTAACTCAGAACCAGAAATTTAAACTCTGTGTATAAATGTCCATGACGTTAATATTTTATGTTCCAGAATATTTTAAAGGTTTTTCATATCCATGGGAACCCCATGTACAGACAGGCAGTAAATGACCGAAAATGAGAATCATAAAAATGAACAGAAAATAACTAAAAAAATATAACAAGCTTCAATAACATATTTTGACAAAAATAACAAAAAAAGTGTATGGATATTGGACTGCAGAAGCTACACAAGCCACATCGATGTGTAAACAGCAGCTATTTGCAACACTATAGTGGGAGATCTGGAAGAATAACACCATAAAAGTCATCTTAAATATTTTTAAGGGTGATGTGTAGACATTCTTACAGGCTGTCTAAATAAAAGTTCTGTCAATTATATTCTTAAAATGACACATGAAACCCATTTTAAAACATCCCTTTCCTTCTAAATGTAAACGCAAATGTAACGTCCTGCAACCTGCACAGGAATACGAGACCCTTTCCTGAACAACGTTCACTTCTCTGATACTGACATACAGCTTTCACCGATTTATACATCAGTTCTGATATAATACTCTAATCTTGATTTGTCAATGCAACAATGATATGTTCAAATCACAAGGATCATTCATTTTCTTCATATGAATTTGTCACTCAGAACTCATCTGTTGATACGAAGTGTGGTTGGTGAAGTTGCGGAAATAGACGGCAGGGAAGCATTGGCAGCGGTGTTGACCTGATGACCTTCAGGAAGAGGTTTAAGATTGACTGTGAAGTGCTCAGGGTTCAGTTAGTTCTGCTCTTCTTTCAGATCAAACCTGACAGAGGAAGATGATTAGAACTAGGGGTGTAACGGTACACAAAAATCACGGTTCGGTACGTACCTCGGTTTTAAAGTCACGGTTCGGTACGTTTTCGATACAGCAAAAAGAAAGAAATGCCAGAGAAATTTCCTATTTGTTTAAAGAAAAAATATTTTTAAATAAGTGTGAGTTTTCCTAGATCTTGAAACTTTCAGGTTTATAAATGGGGGTCATCTTTGAAGGATGAACAAATAATGTTTTGGTCATCACACACTCAGAAAAAAAAGGTACAAAAGTTGTCACTGGGGCTGTACCTTTTCAAAAGGTAAACTTTTGTCCATTTCATGAGCTAATAAGTACATTTAGGTGTTAATATGTACATTTTGGGTGTTAATATGTACATTTTAAGTGTTAATATGTACATTTAAGTGTTAATATGTCCATTTCAGGAGGTAATATGTCAATATTATGAGCTAATATGTCCATTTTAGGTCGTAATATGTACATTTGAGGTACTAATATGTACATTTTAAGTGTTAATATGTACATTTAAGGTGCTAATATGTCAATTTCATGAGCTAATTATGTCCTTTTCAGGTGGTAATATGTCCATTTTAGGTGCTAATATGTACCACTAAGGTACCAATATGCAGCCTTTGGGTAAAAAAGTGTACCTTTTGAAAAGGTACAGCCCCAGTGACAGCTTTTGTACCTTTTTTTCTGAGAGTGCATTAAAAATAACATTTAAATATATATATTTATTTATATAATATTTGAATTTTGAAGTGCTAGAAAAAGATGTGTGAAGTACTTGAAAGCATTTCACCATTCCAGCCAAACTGGTTCCAGTTAGTGTTACTATATTAAATCCATGGTGAATGTTGCTGGTCTGTGGACGAAAGTATTACTAGTTCATTCACGGCACAATGTTTCTCCTGGTTTCCATGACAGCGCTGTTTAATCTAATAGAGATCTACGGTAAATAACGGAGAAATGTGTATGCATCTCACTAGATCTCGCAGCGATGTTATTACCTCAGTGGCGAATTCAAATGTTTTCTTTACCGGATCTCTTAGCGCTGTGTAGTAACAGTGTTGCTTGATGGAGATCGGCTCGCGCTGCACAGATGTTGCTGGTCCGAACTGATAAACGATCCGTGAAGCACATAACGAGTAGCGCAGTTTCGTTCTGCTTTCATTACGCTTGCCAATTTGATGTTGCGCAACGTTGTGTTGGCCGCGTCAGCACGAATTTTGCCGGCAGGAAAAATTATCCAAGCAACCGTTCGGTTTGTATGCGTACCGAACCGGAAGCCTCGAACCGAAACGGTTCAATACGAATACATGTACCGTTACACCCCTAATTAGAACTGATTAAAAGAACAGTTCATCTAAAAATAAGCATTTCATTATTGAAGAAGTTAAACAAAGGTATCAGAACTAAATAAATATAAACATATCAACAATTGTCGCTTAGTAAAAAATATTACTATTTGTGCATTATCCATCCCAAAACTCACCATTCTGTGACTCCGGAGAGAAAGTCAACGTGTCCCAGGTCTATCTGCACCTACAAGAATAAATCAACAACACATTTAACACTAATATATATCTATAATATATATAATTTAATCAAAGCATATTTATAAACATTTATAAAAACTATATAGTTTAATATTTAATTTAATAAATATTTCAATTAGATTTATTTATTTTCAATTAGACATATATTTATTTAATATATTTTTTAATGAATTTATATAAATTAAGTTCTGTATTTGTGGCACAAAGTCATAGGGCACAACAATACATTAAAACAACATATTTTTTTACGTTAAATCAAATACCTAAATCAATTATGAAGAATAAATGTATAAAATATATCAAATTAAATATATAATACTATTGTTACGTGTTGGGACGTAAATATTTAAAAAGGTTGAACAAGTGAGTGTGTGAGCGCTTGTTTCTTTGGTGTATGCTCTCTCTCCTTTCCCCTAATTAAGTGTGTACAGGTGCAGCAGTTTTGGAGGGCGGGGCTGGTGGACGTCTAAGGATAAAAGCTGTGTGGAAGCTTTCGTTCCTCGAGTTCCCTCTCCTGCTTCACGGTGTCGTGGTGTGTGCTCGAAAGAGCGAAATTATACGTGTTATAGCCATCTGGCTGCGTAGTGTTGTTGGTGAAAACTTAGAGTAAGCTGCTTGTGTGCAGCAAGGTAATTGTTAGCGGTATAGGAAAGTAAATGTAAACCATTTTCTGTCTAAGACCACTTGAGAGGACAAAGGCCCTTTATTTTTGTTTAACTTTTTTTCTCCTGTTTATTGGCTAGTAGGGAGGTAAGAATTGTACTTTATTTTGTTAATTTCTTAAAACCAGGGAAGGCTTTAAAACGAGTCAGGGGACCTGTTTTGTTTATTGTTTTGTGGCCAATCACGAAAACCCTCTCATTGTAACTTTTGATCTATAATATATCTAATTTAATCAAAGCATATTTATAAACATTTATAAAAACTATATAGTTTAATATTTAATAAATATTTCAATTAGATTCATTTATTTTCAATTAGATATATATTTATTTAATATATTTTTTTAATGAATTTATATAAATTAAATTCTGTATTTGTGGCACAAAGTCATAGGACACAACAATACATTAAAACAATATATTTTTTACGTTAAATCAAATATCTAAATCAATTGTGAAGAATAAATGTATAAAATATATCAAATTAAATGTATAATACTATTTTAAACACATTTCAATATTTATCAAATCAAAATGACATTTTATGTAATTTTATATGTTTTAAAATACATTTATATACATTATATGAAATTAAAATTTGCAGTCATCTGACATGTTAAAAAACTTTTTTATCTTGTTTTACACTGAAAATATCTAAACAAATACATTTCAAAATCTTAGATTTATTTACAAAACAAATGCTACAAAAAAGATGATTTTCCTAAAGTATTTTCTTACCCAATTTCTTGCACATTTATTTTGTTGTCATGATGTTTACATATTTTAAACGGACAATGAGACAAAAATACTGTCTATGGAAACTATGTTTTTTGCATTATATTCCTGTACAGCTGGAGTGAAGCAATGCGGACTGACCTGGCCGACCACATCTTTGTCTCGATTCATGAAGGACGAAGATGCATTTTTCACACAAACGCTGAGCTCTCGTCTCTGAGCCTCCTCTGCACTCATCTCAAACTCAAACCTACAGAACAACATTCCAGATGATGACACACTGGTTCAAGGACTCCTAAAACGCACTTCAAACTACTTCACATCTAAGATAGAACATGCAAACACATTTGAGAACATAAAACCAAAACACTTACACAACAGAATGCTTTAAAGATTGATCAGACACACCATCTTTATAGTATGGAACTAAAGAATGATCATATCTATACACCATGTTATTTAAATGGTAAAAATCAAGCTATTATCATAGTTTGAAGAACAGATTACACTTCACTTAAATGTCGTTCTCCCTTACTCATGAATGACAAAGACACACACACACACACACATCTACAAACCTTTCATTGAACTCTGGGTTCAGGCTTTTCTTCACACTCGTCTTTCTTTTCGTGGCCTTGCTTTTATCCGGCAGCAGAATGAGGGAGACGTAGGTGTCTAAACTGTCCTTCGATGATGTAACCAGACCCCTGAAAACACACAAACAGAGCGTCCTCACTTTACCTCAAGCTTTAGACTTTCACAAGCAACTTATAAACTTGAAAATACATTTCTTGGTTGCTCAAACAGGTTAATAATCATGCCAACACCATCCACCATACAATATAAGCACGACTACAATCCACAAGTAAGCAGACCTGCATGCATGGACGGTCACTGTGAGCTGTTTCTGGAAGGACAGGGAGATTTTGATCTGTCCAGTGGTGGCCATCTGCTTATTACTCAAAACTGGACCTGAACCCATGGCTACTAAGGCCGCCATTTGTGAATCCAAAATCTGGATAAAACAGAACATGTGGGTTTATACGTTGAGCTATTGTGTTCATGTACTCCCTGAGAAGTTTAAAAAACATTGAAGATAACGTTGTCTAACCTTCAGCTGTGCCCTGAGGAGAACCTGGCTCTGTGGTAAAGCTCCATCCAGATCCAGCCATTGGTCCATCAGTAGATCTGCTTTTGAAAGCAGCTCTCTGATTGGTAGAATTAACGAGCCGCTGGGTTGGTCAAAGGCACTTGAGAACTGCATAAAATGACAATAAATAAATAGTGAGTATGAAATCATCATAATTTGTGGTCTGAAACAAAAAAAGCAAACACCGTTAAAAACTAGTTAAAATCACTATGCACTTCATTAGGCAACACAACTGATTGTTGTATTCTTCTTTTTGCCATGAGGGGCGCTAGAGCTGCATTTACAAAAAACTATGTTCTTCTAGACAGATTTCTTTTTCATGTCAACTACTGTCATGCTGAGCAAGTTAGTTATTTACAGTAAGTGAAACTGTTCATCTATTTTGAGCATGTTCTTGTTTTTTGTGGAATATTGCCATATTTAAAATAAACTTTATCCGTGAATATAATTTTTTAATTCATGTGCTCTCTTAAAAATCTTTAATGAGAATAATTTCTCCTCTTGCAGCAACGACTCTTCTCTTTGATGACGTGTTTATTGGCAAGAGGGCGGGGCAAGCTGTCACTCACATGAGATCCACCAATAGCAAACCACAACCATCCAATCAAGCACTCAGATATACATCACAAAAGGGAAGACGATCACAACTTTGATTTGTTTTGATCTTCTTGAAACTCTGGATTCCGATAGAGGGCCTTGGGACTTAGACCTGAGTGCAAAAATGGAGGCTCTAGACCCTTCCAGAGCTGGGATATTGAGATCCGATGTAGCATTTAGGCCATTATAAATATCTCAATATCTCAGCTCTGGGAGGGTCTACAGCCTCCATTTTTGCACTCAGGTCTAAGTCTCATGGCCCTCTATCATAATCCAGAGTTTTGAGAAGATTGGAGAACCTTAATTTTTCGCCCGAAAAAAAAAAACCGAAAGGGGTACCACTGTCGTTTTTTTTTTTCGGCTCGAATTTTTGAGTTTCGATATCTCAGCTCTGGAAGGGTCTAGAGCTTCCATTTTTGCAGTCAGGTCTAAGTCTCATGGCCCTCTATCAGAATCCAGAGTTTTGAGAAGATTGGAGAAACTTAATTTTTTCACCCGAAAAAAAAAAAAAACGTAAGGGGTACCACTGTCGTTTTTTTTTCAGGTCGAATTTTTGAGTTTCAATATCTCAGCTCTGGAAGGGTCTAGAGCCTCCATTTTTGCACTCAGGTCTAAGTCCCATGGCCCTCTATCAGAATCCAGAGTTTTGGGAAGATTGGAGAAACGTAATTTTTCGCCCAAAAAAAAAAACGTAAGGGGTACCACTGTCGTTTTTTTTTCGGGCCGAATTTTTGAGTTTCGATATCTCAGCTCTGGAAGGGGCTAGAGCCTCCATTTTTGCACTCAGGTCAAAGTCTTGTGGCCCTCTATCAGAATCCACAGTTTTGGGAAGATTGGAGAAACTTAATTTTTCGCCCGTAAAAAAAAACGTAAGGGGTACCACTGTCGGTTTTTTTTCGAGCCGAATTTTTGAGTTTCGATATCTCAGCTCTGGAAGGGGCTAGAGCCTCCATTTTTGCACTCAGGTCAAAGTCTTGTGGCCCTCTATCAGAATCCAGAGTTTTGGGAAGATTGGAGAAACTTAATTTTTCGCCCGTAAAAAAAAACGTAAGGGGTACCACTGTCGTTTTTTTTTTCGGGCCGAATTTTTGAGTTTCGATATCTCAGCTCTGGAAGGGGCTAGAGCCTCCATTTTTGCACTCAGGTCTAAGTCTCTTGGCCCTCTATCAGAATCCAGAGTTTTGGGAAGATTGGAGAAACTTAATTTTTCGCCCGAAAAAAAAAAACGTAAGGGGTACCACTGTCGTTTTTTTTTTCGGGCCGAATTTTTGAGTTTCGATATCTCAGCTCTGGAAGGGGCTAGAGCCTCCATTTTTGCACTCAGGTCAAAGTCTCGCGCCCCTCTATCAGAATCCAGAGTTTTGAGAAGATTGGAGAAACTTTATTTTTCGCCCGAAAATGAAAAAAAACGAAAGGGGTAACACTGTCGTTTTTTTTTCGGGTCGAAATTTTGAATTTCGATATCTCAGCTCTGGAAGGGTCTAGAGCATCCATTTTTGCACTCAGGTCAAAGTCTTGTGGCCCTCTATCAGAATCCAGAGTTTTGGGAAGATTGGAGAAACTTAATTTTTCACCCAAAAAAAAAAAAACGTAAGTGGTACCACTGTCGTTTTTTTTTTCGGACCGAATTTTTGAGTTTCGATATCTCAGCTCTGGAAGGGGCTAGAGCCTCCATTTTTGCACTCAGGTCAAAGTCTCGCGTCCCTCTATCAGAATCCAGAGTTTTGAGAAGATTGGAGAAACTTAATTTTTCGCCGAAAAAAAAAAAAACGAAAGGGGTAACACTGTCGTTTTTTTTTTCGGGTCGAAATTTTGAATTTCGATATCTCAGCTCTGGAAGGGTCTAGAGCCTCCATTTTTGCACTCAGGTCAAAGTCTCGCCCCCTCTATCAGAATCCAGAGTTTTGAGAAGATTGGAGAAACTTGATTTTTCGCCCGAAAATGAAAAAAAAAAACGAAAGGGGTAACACTGTCGTTTTTTTTTCGGGTCGAAATTTTGAATTTCGATATCTCAGCTCTGGAAGGGTCTAGAGCCTCCATTTTTGCACTCAGGTCAAAGTCTCGCGCCCCTCTATCAGAATCCAGAGTTTTGAGAAGATTGGAGAAACTTCATTTTTCGCCCGAAAATGAAAAAAAACGAAAGGGGTAACACTGTCGTTTTTTTTTTCGGGTCGAAATTTTGAATTTCGATATCTCAGCTCTGGAAGGGTCTAGAGCCTCCATTTTTGCACTCAGGTCAAAGTCTCGTGGCCCTCTATCATAATCCAGAGTTTTGAGAAGATTGGAGAAACTTCATTTTTCGCCCAAAAATGAAAAAAAACGAAAGGGGTAACACTGTCGTTTTTTTTTCGGGTCGAAATTTTGAATTTCGATATCTCAGCTCTGGGAGGGTCTAGAGCCTCCATTTTTGCACTCAGGTCAAAGTCTCGTGGCCCTCTATCATAATCCAGAGTTTTGAGAAGATTGGAGAAACTTAATTTTTCGCCCAAAAATGAAAAAAAAACGAAAGGGGTAACACTGTCGTTTTTTTTTCGGGTCGAAATTTTGAATTTTCGATATCTCAGCTCTGGAAGGGTCTAGAGCCTCCATTTTTGCACTCAGGTCAAAGTCTCGTGGCCCTCTATCAGAATCCAGAGTTTTGAGAAGATTGGAGAAACTTCATTTTTCGCCCAAAAATGAAAAAAAACGAAAGAAGGGTAACACTGTCGTTTTTTTTTTGGGTCGAAATTTTGAATTTCGATATCTCAGCTCTGGAGGGTCTAGAGCCTCCATTTTTGCACTCAGGTCAAAGTCTCGCGCCCCTCTATCAGAATCCAGAGTTTTGAGAAGATTGGAGAAACTTCATTTTTCGCCCGAAAATGAAAAAAAACGAAAGGGTAACACTGTCGTTTTTTTTTCGGGTCGAAATTTTGAATTTCGATATCTCAGCTCTGGAAGGGTCTAGAGCCTCCATTTTTGCACTCAGGTCAAAGTCTCGCGCCCCTCTATCAGAATCCAGAGTTTTGAGAAGATTGGAGAAACTTCATTTTTCGCCCGAAATGAAAAAAAAACGAAAGGGGTAACACTGTCGTTTTTTTTTCGGGTCGAAATTTTGAATTTCGATATCTCAGCTCTGGAAGGGTCTAGAGCCTCCATTTTTGCACTCAGGTCAAAGTCTCGCGCCCCTCTATCAGAATCCAGAGTTTTGAGAAGATTGGAGAAACTTCAATTTTTCGCCCGAAAATGAAAAAAAAACGAAAGGGGTAACACTGTCGTTTTTTTTTTCGGGTCGAAATTTTGAATTTCGATATCTCAGCTCTGGAAGGGTCTAGAGCCTCCATTTTTGCACTCAGGTCAAAGTCTCGCGCCCCTCTATCAGAATCCAGAGTTTTGAGAAGATTGGAGAAACTTCATTTTTTCGCCCGAAAATGAAAAAAAAACGAAAGGGGTAACACTGTCGTTTTTTTTTCGGGTCGAAATTTTGAATTTCGATATCTCAGCTCTGGGAGGGTCTAGAGCCTCCATTTTTGCACTCAGGTCAAAGTCTCACAGCCCTCTATCAGAATCCAGAGTTTTGAGAAGATTGGAGAAACTTCATTTTTCGCCCGAAAATGAAAAAAAACGAAAGGGGTAACACTGTCGTTTTTTTTTCGGGTCGAAATTTTGAATTTCGATATCTCAGCTCTGGAAGGGTCTAGAGCCTCCATTTTTGCACTCAGGTCAAAGTCTCGCGCCCCTCTATCAGAATCCAGAGTTTTGAGAAGATTGGAGAAACTTCATTTTTCGCCCGAAAATGAAAAAAAAACGAAAGGGGTAACACTGTCGTTTTTTTTTCGGGTCGAAATTTTGAATTTCGATATCTCAGCTCTGGAAGGGTCTAGAGCCTCCATTTTTGCACTCAGGTCAAAGTCTCGCGCCCCTCTATCAGAATCCAGAGTTTTGAGAAGATTGGAGAAACTTCATTTTTCGCCCGAAATGAAAAAAAACGAAAGGGGTAACACTGTCGTTTTTTTTTCGGGTCGAAATTTTGAATTTCGATATCTCAGCTCTGGAAGGGTCTAGAGCCTCCATTTTTGCACTCAGGTCAAAGTCTCGCGCCCCTCTATCAGAATCCAGAGTTTTGAGAAGATTGGAGAAACTTCATTTTTCGCCCGAAAATGAAAAAAACGAAAGGGGTAACACTGTCGTTTTTTTTTCGGGTCGAAATTTTGAATTTCGATATCTCAGCTCTGGAAGGGTCTAGAGCCTCCATTTTTGCACTCAGGTCAAAGTCTCGTGGCCCTCTATCAGAATCCAGAGTTTTGAGAAGATTGGAGAAACTTAATTTTTCGCCGAAAATGAAAAAAAACGAAAGGGGTAACACTGTCGTTTTTTTTTCGGGTCGAAATTTTGAATTTCGATATCTCAGCTCTGGAAGGGTCTAGAGCCTCCATTTTTGCACTCAGGTCAAAGTCTCGCGCCCCTCTATCAGAATCCAGAGTTTTGAGAAGATTGGAGAAACTTAATTTTTCGCCCGAAAATGAAAAAAAAACGAAGGGGTAACACTGTCGTTTTTTTTTTCGGGTCGAAATTTTGAATTTCGATATCTCAGCTCTGGAAGGGTCTAGAGCCTCCATTTTTGCACTCAGGTCAAAGTCTCGCGCCCCTCTATCAGAATCCAGAGTTTTGAG